AACATTTCTAAAGAATGCTTTCAGCACCTTGTTGAATCAATGCCACGCAGAATTAAGGCAGTTCTGAAGGCGAAAGGGGGTCAAACACAGTATTAGTATGGTGTTCCCAATAATCCTTTAGGTGAGTGTATATACACACGTCATTACATTTTTCTTTGATTGGTCCGTCTACTCCTTATACTGTCTCTGTGTCTCTGACCTTATTTATTAACATATGTCCATCTTGTAAAAACATATAGGGAGAACATAAATTGCTTGCATAGGACACACTTATAGAGTCATGACAGATGCAAGTCTGAGGATGAAAGCTGCTCTGTGGTATATGATGCAGTACACTATATTTGCGATATATGATTTCAAACATTTAATACTACTGGTCAAACCAATGAAAATGTGACTTTAGCATCAGTATAAACTTTTTAAACACATCATAGAATCCCAGATGTCAAAAGTTAAGTGCCAGCAGAATCTAATCATGCTAGTTCGTCCATAACTTTTACTATGCAAACTGTATTTTTCCCTTGTTTGACCGCTTAATGGCTTCACGCTCATTTCATTATTTTTACGACGAGAAGACTTAAGAAGACTGTGTGATCCTGAGGAAGAGAAAATTGCATTTCCTTTGCAAGAAAATTGGCTGTAAAGACCTCCGACATGAATTCCCAGCTGAGCTGTTGCACTTTGCCTGAGAGGAAACAATAAAAAGGGATTTCAAATTTATCAAATCAGATTTTTATGTATTTGTGCACATCTTTGAGTTTTAATAAATGGCAATACATAAACACCTGAAATTTCAACCATTTTTTTTTTCTTGGTTCCATGAGGCTTCAGTGATAAATGGAAACAGACAGAAATGACAAATGAGCATACGGTAACTCTTAGATAAGAGACTCACAATACCAGCACAGACAATACAAATGACTTAAACAAATGTTTGTTCTGTTTTATTTTTTGTTTAACAGGGACTATGGACAGTAAGAAACTGTCCCAGCATTAGCTACAGAGCTAAATTTCATCTTTCAAATGTGTTGGTAAAACAAATGGTAAAATCATTACGCTGATCACAAGATGCACTTTTGAAATCTGGATTCTCAAAACTGAGGTTTTAAAGCACACACGTCGGTTCGAGCAGGAGTCAAGGGCCGAAACTAATTTTGATCTATTTTTAGAAATGCATTGATCTTTCATGCAGAATCTGACCCAAGTGTTGAGCCCAGCGCTGATACTCCTCCACATCACGTCAAAAAACCTCCACAAAAGCTCAATGCAAGCGTTGCTCTGACCCCTGACTTATTCCCACATCAAAGATTGCTTTTTTCTTTTCTTTTAATTCCTCTTGATTGATCCTGTCCATTTCCATGGTGTTTTCCAGCCTCTGGTGTGAGTATCGATCCGTCCAGAGCATCCTGGAATTTCTCTAAATCAAGTTGCTCTTTCTCGGAGAAACAGGAATATCAGGTTCAATTTCACATTCTCCAAATTGGTAAAAGGCTTAACTTTAACCTTCACATCACATCGCTGAGAGAAGAACTGCTTTGTGTGCTTTTCATGGATCTACTGGGATTTCTCTTGGAAACACAACATAGTGCAACCATTTTTAGATTCATTTGTACAAATTTTGTATGAAAGAAATGAAAACATCTATTCAGCGAGGACACAACATTTTCAACATTGATAATAATCATAAATGTTTCTTAAGCATCAAATCATCATATTAGAGTGATTTCTGAAGGATCATGTGACACTGAAGACTGGAGTAATGATGCTGAAAATTCAGCTTTGAACACAGGAATACATTACACTTTACTAAATATTCACATAGAAAACAAGTTTTAAATTGTAATAATTAGTACTGTCAAATCGATTAATCGTGATTAATCGCATCTAACATAAAAGTTTGTGTATATATAAATGTATACACACACATTCATACACACAAACATATAAATATATGTGTGTGTGCATGTATATGCGTGTGCACACCGGTAAATGTATATATACACACACATAATATATATATTTACAAACTTTTTTGTTAGATGCGATTAATCTCGATTATCTAGCAATACTATTTCAACATTAGTGTACTTTATACCGACCCCAAAGTTTTGAACGGTAGTGCATTTGTACAAACGAAAAAAATTTTGTTCTCTAAAACTAGTATTTAAATGAATGATCAAATCCTATCTCGCATAAATCAAAAGAAATGCATAAACGCATAAGCAGCAACCCCGCTGGACCGTCTCACGCTCGGCAAAGAGTGTCCCATTCATTCGGGATCCGAGCGCGGCACATCAAAAATTCATTACTGGATTCTAATTGAGCTTGTTCCCCAAAGGAAGATCCCTGTATTCTTTAGCCTCTCCTCCGACACATGGAGCGCACCATACGGCTCATTAAGATGCAGAGGAGTCTCGCCTGATCCAACAAATGCCATCCTGGTTGGGGTCAGTTTTTCCAATCTGTCTCAGTATACATATGAGGCAGGGCCGGGATAATGGGGATGTATTGTTCATGTTGGATCCAAAAGGGCGATCTGAAGATGAATAATATTCAGTAATCTAAAAACAAACATGACATCTAACAAACAAAAGAATGGATGAAAGGGAAGACTGGTCAAGCAAAAAAACATTCTTGGTTATTTTATATATATACAGTATATATATATATATATATATATATATATATAAAAAGACTTACTAAATAGTTGAGTATAAAAGTGTACTGTGTATAAAACAGAAATGTACCCTTTACCGTTCAAAGGTTTGGGGACGGTAAGAATTTTAATGTTTTAGAAAGAAGTTATGCTCATCCAGGCTGCATTTATTTGATCATAAATACAGTAAAAACAGAAAAAAACTGTGAAATATTATTACATTCAAACAAACTGTTTTTTTTTCAATACGTTTTAAAATGTAATTTATTCCTGTGATCAAAGCTGAATTTTCAGCATCATTACTCCAGTCTTTAGTGTCACATGATCCTTCAGAAATCACTCTAATATGATGATCTGATGCTCAAGAAACATTTATGATTATTATCAATGTTGAAAACAGTTCAGCTGCTTCATATTTGTGTGGAAACAGTGATTTTCTTTTTAAAAAAAAGTCTTACTGAATGTACACCTTTGAACGGTAGTGTTTTAATCATTTAATTTCAAAGATCCCAATTTAGATAATGATGACAAATAGTGTGTATCCGCTGAGGCTCACAAATCTCTTTCATGCTTAAATCTGTTTATTATGTTTACAGCTGTCACACACATGTTGCTATAGTCATAATTTCATTCAACAGTCATGAGTCTGATGAAGTAGGAGTGACACCTTTTTTCTGTACACATAAAACCACATCTTACGGGATATTAATTGAAAATAATTCCAGTTTTATTTTCTTGCTAATTTCTGGGCATCGGCTCATTACAGGCTCTCTCATATCTTTCTTAAGAAAACACTAATCTAGAAGTAAGGGCTCTTGTTTCCTGCCGATCATCCGGCTGGCACGGATCCAGGTGTGTAAAAGGCCTGTTTGACATTTGTGTTAAATCCGGCTGTTTGTACTATGAGTCGGCCTGTGGTGCGGGAGTGCGTGCAATCCGACCTAGAGGTTATTATGACCCAAAAAGTCATTTCAAGGTCAAATCTTGCAAGTGTTAAAGGGTTGGTTGCCCCCAAATTAATATTATGTCATTATTTGTCATTTCAAACCTGTATTCTGTTTTTTACCTTCTAGTTTCCACACAGTTTCATAGTGACCATGTCTGTCAAGCTTTAATGTACAATTAAACCAATGTAAAGTACAAAAAAAGTAGCAATATAGAGTACAAAAATGTTAATTTTAAAAGGATGGTTCACTCCAAAAAGAAAGTTCTGTCATCATTTACTCACCTTTGTTCAAAACTGATAAGACATAAGACTGACATGACACCTTCATAATCATGACATGACACGTGTCATGAATATGAAGGAGGTTTTAGGCATGTTTATGACAACTGTCATTAAGTGTCATTCGCTCAATTATGACATTTATAATGCAAATATGACATTGTTTGAAATGTCTTTGTTATGACAACTTGACATAAACCAATACATCACAACCTGTCTGTGTCTTTTTCATGACAACTTGACATTACTAAGACAACACAACCTGTCATAAACATGACATAGCAGATTAATTATCAAACTTAAGAAACCACTTAGCTTTATGGGTTAACATTACATTAAACGGTCAGGTGGTTGGTTTTGACATTGGCTGTCATGAGGCATTATAACATTTTAATGACAAATTCAATTTATACCACTGTATTTGAGGTCAAGAAAAATATTCATGACTCAGTTATAATGCCTCATAACAGCCAATGTCAAAACCACCAAACACATGACAGTTTAATGTAATGTTAACCCATTAAGCTAAGTGGTTTCTTAAGTTTGATAATTATTCTGCTATGTCGTGTTTATGACATATTTATGACAATTTATGTTGTCTTGGTAATGTCAAGGTGTCATAACAAAGACATCTCAAACAATGTCATATCTGCATTAAAAATGTCATAATTGAGCGAATGAGACTTAATGACAGTTGTCATAAACATGCCTAAAACCTCATGATTATGAAGGTGTCATGTCCGTCTTATGCACACCCCTTCAAGTAAAGTGTTACCGTATGACGTGCTTATTTCTGCCGAACACAAAAAAAAAATTTTTTTTGGTTGCAACATTCTTCAAAATATCTTCTTTATGTTCTGAAAAATCAAACAGATTCGAATGACATGAGTAAATTATGGCAGAACTATGTCTGACTTATTCTTGGCTGAACTACGCCATTAATGATGATTGTTTTCAAAACAGCTGCATAAAGATTATTCCACATTTTGCCTCTTTCTTTGCTTTGAGTCTCCAAATATGTGCAGTTGTAGCTGCTTAAAAAAAGTTTCCTCATGTTATCCGTTACCAAAGAGAGATGCGACTACATGTGAACATCATCATGATGGTCGTTGGGAAAGTTCAGAATCTGCCCTGCACTCCGAGCTCTTTCTCGGCTGCCCGCTCAATGTGTGTGTGGATAATGCGCACTTCTTCCTGGGACAGGGTCCTCTCCATGTGGCGATACTCCACGCGGTAACAGTGGCTCATTCGCTTCGTCCTAGGAGGGTAAAAAAAGACATAGTGAAAATAGAGAAAGATCATCTTAAATGTACATTCACCCAAAAATGCATTATTATTTTCTGTGTTATTTTTCATACAACAACAGATCATTGACCACGAATGACCAAAATCACCCAAAAACGTGACATAAAAACAGTCGCTAAATTTAAATTCATCTGAAGCCGTACAATAGTTTTGTGTGATGAACAGACAGAAATGCAAGCCGTTATTGACTGTCGTTATTATCTTCCCCTTCAGTGAGCTGTTCAACACTAAAGCAAATGAGTTATGAACATCAAAACCGGATCAGTCTGATTCATAAACCAATTATTCAAATCAGTTTTGTGAACTGTCTCAACCAATTCATTTAAAAGATCAGACTCAAAACAGCTCATTAATCTGGAGGCAGCAGCTCTGGAGTTTATAGCTCAAAGAAGAGGGAGATTATCAATGAGAAATGACTTCAGGTTCAGTGTGTTTCTCATGTCAGTTGCAGACCAGGCTCGTCAGAAATTTCAGTCCAATAACAAAATGTTGCTTTTTCATGTTTTCCTGTCACTTTTTTTTTGAATCATGTCCATTTGCACTAAAAGGGTGGCGTTCAGTTTTAGCGGAAACAGATGAATGTGAATCTCGAGGCACTTCGGAAATTAAATGTCCGGTTAAAGGGTTAATGTTCAGAAAATAATGTACCACCTGCACAAAACCTGACTGATAGTGTTAACAAAAGCAACGGTGAGATAAAAACACATTTGCTGAGGAAAAAAAAATATACTCTGTTTTTATGAATTAACGAGTTAATTATCTCAGAATTACGAGATCATTTTCATGGAAAAAAAGTTTTTGCTCTGTTTTCTGAATTAACGAGTTAATTATCTCAGAATTACGAGAAAATTTTTCATGGAAAAAAGTTTTTGCTCTGTTTTTCTGAATTAACGAGTTAATTATCTCAGAATTACGAGATCATTTTTCATGGAAAAAAAGTTTTTGCTCTGTTTTTCTGAATTAACGAGTTAATTATCTCAGAATTACGAGAACGTTTTTCATGGAAAAAAAGTTTTTGCTCTGTTTTTCTGAATTAACGAGTTAATTATCTCAGAATTACGAGATCATTTTTCATGGAAAAAAAGTTTTTGCTCTGTTTTTCTGAATTAACGAGTTAATTATCTCAGAATTACGAGATCCTTTTTCATGGAAAAAAAGTTTTTGCTCTGTTTTTCTGAATTAACGAGTTAATTATCTCAGAATTACGAGATCATTTTTCATGGAAAAAAAGTTTTTGCTCTGTTTTTCTGAATTAACGAGTTAATTATCTCAGAATTACGAGATAATTTTTCATGGAAAAAAAGTTTTTGCTCTGTTTTTCTGAATTAATGACTTAATTATCTCAAAATTATGAGTAACTCATTAAATCATAAAAACAGAGTGAAAAAATTTTTTTCAAGAAAAATGTATCTCATAATTCTGAGATAATTAACTCGTTAATTCAGAAAAACAGAGCAAAAACTTTTTTTTCATGAAAAAATATCTCGTAATTCTGAGATAATTAACTCGTTAATTCAGAAAAACAGAGTAGATTTTTTTTCTTCAAGTGAATGCAATGCGCTTCCGTAGAAAAGCTATACATATGCAGCTGGTTATGTGATAAAAAGGTCAAAATATTAGTTTACAAATCACGCACTATGATAAAAGTGTTTTGAAGTCATTACATACACTTAAAAAATCTTGGGTTATTTTTTTATACCCAAATCCTGGGTTGAGACTTTTGGGTTATTTTTAGGGATTATTTTTTTCAGTGTTTGAGTAGTTTTTGTGTTACCCAGATCCTGGGTCAGATATAACAACCCAGGGGTTGAGTTATTTATCGCAGGGTTTTTGCAAACTCTTTCAGGAGAGAGCAGTGGAGCTCCGACAAGTTGGTGCATGTCTTCGGTAAAATACAGGTTTGCGTACATTTTATTTGATCAATAAATTCGATATTGTGCTGTATATTGTTTAATTTTATGCAAAGCAACATAGAGGGGCGCGATGTGAGTCTACAAGCTCCGGCGCCGTTACAGTGGAAACGGAACACTGAGACTTGATTCGATTACACTTGAATTACTTCTAAATAGTTTTTACTTCTCATATTTGTTAAACGAGCTTAAATGTACACAATTTGTATTAAAAACGATATAAAGTATGATATACTGCACAACAAATAAAGGAATTCTCATGCAAACCAGTGGTTGTGTGGAGTTTAAAAAAAGTTTAGGAGATTTAAGTTAAACCATAAACCTTAATTAGTGTATGAAGTAAAAAAAAAGAAGCTATAGTAAAAATGAATCGACCCATTATGCTGGGCTAAATAACCCAATTTGCTGGGTAAAATGGAGTGAAACCCAAATTGGGATGTTTTTAACCCAGTGTTGTACAGTGCATGGAACCACACGAAAAACCACACAATAAAGAAGTCTTTATTAATCAAAAATCTGGAAAAACATGCCTCTACCTACATCTTTGCAAAACTAAAAAAATGCGCCGGCGCCATCAGATCACTTGGACGTGGCTGTGTTTACAAGAGGTAAAAACGATATAAATACTGTTCGTTTTCTCACACAAACCGCTCGTTTCGTGTCTTAGGCCATCAATGTGTACTTACATTTACGAGTCATTAAATCATGTTTAATTTGGACTTCTCTGTGCATGCTCTTTGAGGTGGTGACCATAGACCTGCATTATATGACTGACAGACAAGAACGGTTTGACCTAAAAATATCAAAATTGAAACTACTGCGGAAACAAAGACACCCACATCTTGGATGCCCTTGAGGTAAGCTAAAACATACCAAAAATTTATTTCAAAGTGAACTATCCCTTTAACCGTTCCATTCCAGGCCGATCTGCCCAGCCGGTACGGATATGGTTTCACTTCCCACTGTGGCGCTGATAATGGAGCTCTTTGCAAAGTAATACAAATGAGTCAGTCGTTGCCTTGGTATGCAAACGTTTACAGACTGTATGAGATGTAAATAACGACTGCTTTATGGAGGATGATCATATATCTGGCTTTTAATTGTATTATTAACTTGTGTTAATATTAACGTTTATGTTTTTTGGGGGGATTTACATCTGTCGTTGGATGGAAAAGAGCTGTGTGAAGATTTTTCAAAATATCTTTATTTGTGTGAAGTCATACAGGTCTGGAACGACACATCATGAGTAAACGATGACAGAATGCTCATTTTTGGCTGAACTATGCCATTAATCTTAGTTTAGTTGTTGTACTGCAGCTATTTCTGCACAAATAACTTATACAACAGTGTATGTAAGGTCAAGCTAATACATAGATCAAACTCGTTCAGGGAGCTGCCAGTCAACAAACCCCCTCACACAGACACACAGACACACAGACACACACACACACACACACACACACACACACACACACACACACACACACACACACACACACACACACACACACACACACACACACACACACACACACACACACACACACAGTGTAAGCCTATTCTCAGGGGAGGAGCTGGATTAACAAAGAACAAGAAACTACAAAGTTTTCACTTACACAGCGCTCTCCAGGGAGAAAACCAAAGTCAAGCATGATTCCTTTTTTATTGTGCATGCTGTATGTAAGCAAGACTGCAGAAAACTGAGAAAAAAAGCCAAGGGTTTGGACTCTTTATAAAGCAACGAAGTGAAACAAAATGGCTGACAGGCAACTGCAGCGAAGCAGCGGCCGGGATTCCAGTGCAACTCAACGGGGAGTCGTGAGGCTACACCGGATTCACTTTGCCGATACTGGATTTGTAGTCGGCGGGCCTGGTGTCCATAGGGATGTAAACTCACATCATTAAGCATCAGAGAAGCACTCTAAGAGTCAAACAGCTCCAAGATGCAGTGTTTTTGACTAACGTTTTTTGTTGTTGCAATTCTACGCTTCCTAAAGTTGCAGTTCTCACAATCCGAGATTGAGAGGATGGTTGAAATGAAACAAACGATCAGCATACATTTTTCCAAATGTGTCTATGAATATGCAATAACTTTCGAATGTCAAGTCAAGTCAAGTCAAATATATTTATATAGCGCTTTTCACAATACAGATTGTATCAAAGCTGCTTCACAGTATCAATCAAAACAACTTAACAGTGTTTGTTTATTACTGGAAAAAGACATCCAAGTTTGGTAGAGCTGATCAGTGGTATGATGGGTCATTTAATTTGAATATCCCCAACTGAGCAAGCCAAAGGCAACAGTGGCAAGGAACCGAAAAACTCTATCAAGTGACCCGATGGTGTCCTAAAACTCCATCAGATGACCCAATGGAGAAAAAAAAAACCTTGGGAGAACCCAGGCTCAGTCGGGGCCAGTTCTCCTCTGGCGTTTATGAAGTAGAGGCCGAAATTACAGTAACTGTAAGATAAAACATTTATATGAATGCCTGGCTAAATAGATGCGTCTTTAGTCTAGTTATAAACTGGGAGAACGAGTCTGAGCAACGAACAATATCAGGAAGGCTATTCCAGAGCTTCGGAGCTAAATGTGAAAATGCTCTCCCTCCTTTGGTGGATCTGGATATCCTAGGAATGACCAGAAGCCTCGAATTTAGTGATCTTAAAGAGCGCGATGGATTATAGGGCGATAGAAGATCCGTTAAATAGACTGGAGCTAAACCATTTAGGGCTTTATAAGTCAAAAGCAATACCTTGTAATTAATACGGAACTTTATAGGTAACCATTGAAGTGATGATAGAATCGGTGTTATATGATCATATTTTCTTGATCTAGTAAGAACTCTAGCGGCTGCATTTTGGACTGTAGCTTGTTTATTGAAGATGCAGGACAACCAGCTAATAAAGCATTACAGTAATCTAGTCTCGAGGTCATGAATGCATGAACTAACTTTTCTGCATCAGAGACTGATAGCATATTACGCAGCTTAGCAATGTTTCTAAGGTGGAAAAAGGCTGTTTTTGTAACATATGAAATATGCTT